AAAAGGCCGCTGTGTGGGCTGCCCACTGGGGACAGGAGGGCACAGCTGTAGCCGAGAACGAGACGCTCTGAGGAGCCCCTGAAGGGGTCAGGTCAGCCTACCCCAGCGCTGACGCAAAAGGACACAGTGAGAGCCACAGAGATGGCACCTGTGCGGAACCCTGCAGGTTAGGGGAGATTCGACCACAAGTAAGAGGGCGCTCGCCCCCCGCTGCCCTCAGAGCTGGAGGCTTCTGTCTCTCTCAGCGCAAGGTGCCGAGAGGGCAGTGGCCACTGGCCTTGGTGCCTCTGGGATCCTTTAACCTTTCCTCCACGTCTGTCCCCTGCTGGTCACCGGAGGGCTACTCCAGCTCCAAATGATTATTTCCACCTCCAAGGCGAGAAAAAAAGGGGGAAATGGGGTGGCACCAGCTGTGTCTTTCACTATTATTGGGAAAAACAGGACCATTTCTGCAACTACTCGCGGATGTCCACTTGGGTTCCACTGGCCAGAACCCCGCCACATGGCCACCCTTGCTGTAAGGAGACCAGAAGGACAAATGTCCTGCATGCTCTAGGGCACTTTGCCACCCTCAACAAAACTGGAGTTATGCTAGCAAAGAAGGGAGAAATGGATACAGATAGGGAATTTCAGTGTCTATCACAGGGCCCCAGAGCAAGATCTGGCAGTAAGTGATGACAAGCCCCCAATCTCGGACTGCCAGACAGAGCTGGGCAGGATGCCCAGTTCAATTTGAATGTCAGACAATGGCCCTGGAGGAGAGAGGGATAAGCAAAGTGGGCGGGCGGATTCAGCACATAGGCAGGAGATTGAAATATTGATTACTTGATCAAGGAGTGAATGCTGGGGGTGATGGAAGAGAGGAGCTAGGATGACCATCAGGTTTTCGGAGTGGGTAATTGTTAACTTGCTAAGAGGGGGACACGAAAGGATGAAAAGTTGGGGGGAAAGATAATGAGTTTGGGTTCAGATAACTTGAGTTTGAGGAGCCTCAAAAGACATCCAAGGGGTGCTCCCCAAAGGCAGTTAGTTTCTGGGTGGTGTAGGAGGTCTGAGAGGGTAGGGGCTGGAAATGCAACCTGCTTCAGACAAGCACTGACACTTCGGTAGGTTCATCCAGCGTGCTTTCCTGTGAGTGAGGAGAGCATGCTGGAGCAGAAATAGAGAATATTATAAATAAACAAAAACCAGACTATTCATTTTAAACAATAAAAATAAACATTAGAGAGGAGGCCATCTCAGTTCTAATCTCAGCTGGGACAGAAAAGCAGAAAACCACTCTCCGCCTATTTCCCTCCCCTGGAAGGGGAGGCTGCCTTGGCTGGACTGGGTCCTTCCAGCGCTGCAAAGTGCTTTAGGAAATGGCCGGTCCCACCTTGTGTGTCGTCTTGGTTGGATTTGATTTCAAAGACCCACTAGCTGCAGGTGGGTCAGTGATCTAAATTAAGCCACTGCCCTCTCTCCTAGGATTTTGAAACTTGAGGCAAGAAACACAAAAGTATAGAAGGTTGTGGGAGCTCAAACACCCTGGCAGTGACATCCCTACAGGAGTCTCAAGTAGGTCTTGCTACCTAGACCCATTCAAGCATCCCAGGTCTTGTCCTTCTCTTCTGAGCCATTTGTCCTTTAAATTGAGCTAGTTACCTAATACCTTTCCAATAAAATAATTTCGACTTTATTTAGTCAGAATCAGTTTCTGCTGTCTCTGACCAAAGAACATGAAACTGGTTCACAAGGGACTGGACAACACTTGTTTTCAAGACATCTTTCAGCCTCAAAATATCCACAATATAAGAGCAATTTTTAAAACTGCCACAATATAAAAGCAATTTTTAAAATTTCAAATACATGTTTAAAATAGACCATTCTTTAC